TATTGTTGTATTAAATGAAATCCCATCACTGATATACAGAAATGCAGCAGGTGATTCTCACCAGATGTAGACCAAGTATTTACTGCTTTCCACAGCTGTCACAGCCAAAACAGACAGGTATTACAAACAGAGCTTGAAGACTATTGACTATTGCAACTTCCAAGGCAGAGCTACAATCAAGTTATGGAGAGGTTCAATAAGTCAAGTGGCAGAGTGCTCTACAACAGCACTGGCCATGTCTTCTCAGGTCCTGAGATCAAACTTAGGCCACAAGGACACCAGCTCCCTCTGACTCAGCTGGACTTGCCTGAAGACCAAAGCTCCCATGCTCAAGCTGTAAAAGGTAAAGCAGGGGCCAGGCCAGCCAGCAGTGATGCACACCCAGCAGAGCTTCCCAGGCAGCGCAGGCAGCCAAGGTTGAATCCTGACAGAACTGCACCTTTGCTGCAACTCAGCCAGAGAACAAGGAGAAGGAGAAGTTGCCATCTCCACGCTCCAAGTGTTTTACAGAATGTATCACATTTCCTGCTGTACATCTTCCTTTTGCTGTCAGCCTGATATGGAAACACTAAAATGTAGCAGCTGACACTCCATTATATGCTCTGTGGTGACCAAGTCCTGTCAGTGTCCCCCAGCCTGCTGGCCCACAGACAGAAATGAATTCTGGACCATGTCATACTCTGCTGTCACATTGGTCTCAATTCAAACAGTTTTGGTCCTTGTGACTGCGAACAGGCTGAGCTCACTTACTGCTTTCCAAAAATGTCAGGCTAGTTTCTTGAACAAATTACATTCTGCAGGGTACTTCTTAGGTCAGTCAGAACAGCTTTTGGCTCTCTGGGACATGAACGTGCTCCAGGCTGCCAAAGTGTGTGGAAAATTAAATTCCAGCTCCTGCTGCCAGGAAGTTAGAGGAAAATACCAACACACAGAAACATGTGCTGAAAATAGGAATGGCTGGACCTGCAGCTGGGAGAGAGTCTCTGCCCTCCCAGCAGATAGCTCCTAATAGCTGAGTTTGAAGCAGCCAAGTACAAACCTGCTAAAACCTCTGCAACCTCTTCTTCCGCCTTCATACAGTTCTGGGTCATAGCCCTCCCAAGAGGAGCTCGTGGACCCAATGCAGGTTCTGCTCCAGCTGTTGCTGCACCGCTCCAGTGACTCCCATTGTCTTTTCACTGCTGCTGGGTTCTTGCAGTAGTCACAGCACTTGTTACAAGGAGGGGTGGCATCCCCAAAGTACTTTGCTATGGCCGCATGGCGACATCTGAGAAACAAAAGGGAAAATGAACTGGCAATTATTTTTATTGACAAGAACTCCACCCTCCAAATACAAGGTGTCTTTTGATAAAGACTTGAGGTTTGTCTGGTTTGGTTTGGGTTTTTTTTGTAGAGAATGCCTGTTCCAGCAGGAATCACAGGGATTAAGTTCTGGAGCAGAACTGGGGTTCTCTTCCTGGCAAGTTGCTTAAGGTCTCTCTGCCTCCACTTCCCCACATGTAGAACAAACAGAGCTGTCAATCCCTTCTGCTACATTATTTTAGATCTTTGAGATCTGCAAGAGGCATGATAAAATATTAATTCTGCATTGTTGGCCATATATATTCCATGTCCAGTGGTTCTAGGATAAATGTGTAAAGGAGTCCTGTTGATCCCTACACCTCAGAGTTGAGAGGATAGCTATGTATTTCCACATTGGAGAGCTTCTAATTTTATTGCTTCTGGTTTGAAGTTGAACAAATCTACATTTGAAGAAACAGGAATGTAAATTAAGTCACAGAGAGTCCAGACTGAGCTGACAAGGAAGCGCTGTTCAGGTAACCCAGCCTGGGACTCTACCTGCTAACACACACTTCAGAGCTGCAGGCAAACATCGGCTGGAGCCCTGCATCCAGGAAAGCCAGTCCATTTGCTCAGGCAGTATTGCAGAACCAGCTCGACCAGCCTTAGCAAAGTGGCCATGTGAAGATGTTTACATTCTTCCAGGTACCTTCAAAAGATTTCTGGCAGCCATCAGTGCTTTTGGGTATGTAAAAAAGAGTTTGGTGACAGAGATATGCTCATTAGAATACAGGCAGGAAGTCATTTCTCCTCTAGTACAATCCCTGACTTAAACCAGTGAAGACACTGATTTCACGATGTGAAGAACCACCCAGCAGTTACTTGTTTTTCTTGTTTTAAGCAAATGGGCAGAATTTAGAGGCGCTTTTTAAAACTTGGGTTTCACAGCAGAAGTGGCAGTTGTCTATTAAAATGCTGATACCAGATACACAGAAACACTTCATAAGGCATTTAGAGATCAAGCCCTGCAGCCAAGCAGCAACAACAGGTATTTTAGAAGAGAATTTTTTTACTTCAGGGAAGAACAAAATGGAGATTTTTCTCCTTCTCAAGGAGTGCCCTAGCTGGATTACCAACTTCATCTGCAAAAAGTGGGTCACACAGGGGAAAAGTAAGAGTAAGCACTCCATTTATTCTTATTATAAACCCTCTAAGGCATGTCTGAACACACCAGAGATCTAAAAAATGCAGTTTGTTTCTTAACTTGTGTGCATGTGTGTGTCTGGGGTGAGCACAACTGTAGTTCTCCCAAAGCCTCACAGAACAACCCTGCCAGGGCCTGCAGCTCACATTGTCATGGGCCCAGAGGATCACTCACCAGCCCAGAGGAGGTGAAGCAGCAAAGCAGCAGGTCACATACTGCTGCCACCAGGCTGGAGTGGGCAGGGCCTGGCACTGCTCAGGTAAGGAGGGCTGCAGCAGCATGGCATGGTCTGGGGCACTGAACTCCTGGACAAAGCTGGCTTTATGTCCCCATGCAGAGCTGCGCTGACTCGCTCTCGCCTGGCACTCAAAGAGCTCCTTTCACATGGTGGGGAGGGGTGGGGGGACCGGGATGGGGACAACACATTTGATGCCCTTGTTCTGTCTTTCCAAAAGAACTACTGGTGCTGCCTGTCCTGCCAGTGCAACGTGACTGTAGAAATGTCAGCAAGCTGCAACACAGCTTTTTGTTTCCCCAAAAGAAACCAAGCAAGCATTCTCATTAGTCCACATCTCTCACATGCACTGATCTGTATTAGAAATAACTGAGGCATACAGCAATGGTCAAGCACTCTCCTCACCCCTACAGCCTCCTCACCAATCTGGGGAGGGACATCCATACACTCCCCCCTCCCTTAATGCAAACAAAAGATGCCCCAAGCAAGGCTTTCATGGGAGCACAGATCAGCCCTGAAGTCACTGGAATTCAGACCTCCAGTTTTTAGCCCATCAGGCTTGTAAAGCCAAGCCCTTTCCATCCCACCTCCTGTAACTGCCTGTACTTCCTGCAGAATTACCCAAACTGTGGCCACGGCCCCACTTGAGCCAGCAGTGCTCCTGAGTTGGGTCATAACAGAAATTCAGTTGCAGAACTAAAATTGCAGTCCTGTAATGGAATTCAAAAGGCCAAACCCAGGGTTACCAATAGCAATGCTGAGGGTAATCACTAGATTAATCCTTAACACAAGAGGTCCTGAAACATAGTTGGTTATGCATTAACATGCGGTGGGAGAACTTCCTGAGCACCTGACTAATGCCCAAGAGTTGGAGAGATTGTTTACATAAATTAATGGTAGGTTTTATTATTATACATGTCCCAAAATTATTTCACCTTTTAAATATGCTACTGTATTATTTGCCTACCCCACCCTTCAACAGGAGTATGCATGAGCTGACCACTGGTCTTTAAAATGTTCAAACAAAGTTATCATTTCATTTGGGACATCCTACCCTGATTTGACCTCATGGGATAGGATAAACAGCAAATAACAACTGAGTTCACTAACTTGTTTTTGCCTCCTTGCAATTAGTAGAAGCAGATGGACAGTCAGAGAAGCAGCAAAGTCACATACCCCAAAAGCAGCTTTGCCTCTCCCAGAATATATCAGAAGAAAGCATTCCTTAATATAAGCCAGAGAAGGGTGCACAGCTCATCAGAAGAACTCCCCCAAAAGAAACCAACCAGAAAGTCTGAGAATTAAGCCAAGAAATGAAAGCATTAAAACCGACAAAAATCATGCGAGTACCAGTAAGTCATGTAGATGCCAGTAGCTGAACAAAAGCTATTTGATGAGAGAGCAAATGATGAGGTTGATAAGAAATCACCACTTTGCACCTGCCTGAAGGACATCATCTAAACTTCAACAACCTCTGGGACAAGACAGCGGTGCCAGCTGTCCCAACACAAGGCACCAAGACAGTGAACACCATGGCCAAAGGCAAGGGGCAAAGTGACTTCAGGAGCAGCATCCTGGTGCCCTGTCCGGGCAGGCTCTGCTCCACCGTCCTGCAGACCTCTTGTGCTGTCCCACCAAGGAGCACAAGAATAAAAGCTCCTTCCCTGGGAGCCTGTACTGGCAGCATAAGGAAAAGTTAATCGCTTTAACAGCCCCCAAACTATGGCAGGGAGGGAATCGACTCAAGCCTCACTCCAGAAAAAGCTGTAATTAAAAGGAAAATAAGCAAAGAGCTCGCTAGGAGGAAGCGCAGGGAGGATGCGAGCAACAAGTGCCGCGCTCGGTGCGCGGGAGCTCGCCGCGGCTCCACTGCTCGGGCCCACCCTCCCTCTCTGGCACTTGTAACAGGAAACTTCCCGTCTCCGGGACAACCAATAACAAAAACCGGGCAGAGCCGACAGCTGGCTGTCAGCAGCCCGAGGAGAGCGGCGCCAGAGGAGCCGGCCGAGGGGAGATGACCGAAAGAGAAACGAGAGGAGAAGAGCTGGTGCGCGGCTGGGGTAAGGCTGAGCTGTTGTTGCTGGTGTTCGGTCAACCCTAACACCTTAACTCCATAGCAGGGAGCTGGAGCTTTCGTAGCTGTCTGCGCGGTGAACTGCGGAGCCCGCCGCTGAGCAGAGCCTGCCCAGCCCGAAGCCGTGGGCAAGGGACGCTCGGGAGAAAAGCTTTAAGCAGAGCTGCAGGAACCTGCGCCCGCTGCGCCAGGGCCAAGGAGCAGCAGGGGCTCCGCTGTGATGCGGAAGGCAGCTGCTGTGTTTCTGTTGCTGTTAGGGAATGTGACTCAAGCTGATAAGCAGGTCTAGCACAGGGCATTCCCCACTGCAGTGACTTGATACATTAATGTGGACAAGAGGGATGCTCTGCTCCTCCATATGTGTATGTGCCACCAGGGAGTAGCTGCCAGCACAGGCAAGCGCCTGTGAAACCAAGCGGGTGCAGCCACAGCGCTTCTCCAGAGCTCCTCCTCGCTGGAGCAAAGTTTAGCTCCCAAATCCTGAAGCAGAGAGTTTAGCAAATAAACCCTGGTCAGGGAACCAGCATATTGTGCAAGTTCAGCATCTGCGTCCAATAGAAATAAATGGAAAGACTTTACAGCGCTTCTAACAAGAGCATTTAAAAAAATCAGCCAAGGCACAGATGCTGGTTTACTATTCAAAACAGCCTGAGAAACCACTGTGCGAGAGAACACAGACACACACATACATGGTCTGCGGTTTGCAGTAACAAGACTATCAGGTCTGAATGCAGTGAGAAGGGAAGGAAGAGGATCTCCCAAATACATGAAATCACAGAATCGTTTAGGTTGGAAAAGACCTTTCCAGATCATCAAGTGCAAGTCTTGGACTTACATAGAGGGGTGTCCCATAGCCTGAGCTCCCATCTCATTTTGCTTCTGGATACGGAAGGGGGACTAGAAGGGAAACTGACCACATATCCCCTGTCTGCTGCCACGTGAAGCTGGTGACTCTGTTTTGAAGCTCCTCCAACTCCTAACACTGAGCCAAGACCACTTGCCTCTTCCAGAAGGTACATGGGCAGTCAGCTATTTACCAACAGGCAGTGAGAGAGGCAGGAAGCCAATTCTCACCAAAAGTATCCTGATCTTACACATACCTGTAGGGAAGAATGTTAAGGATCAGGTATTTCCACTTCTCTCCATCCCCATTAATGCAGAACAGAGGGTGGGTCTTTCTGACCTACATGTTGTATGAACACCAGATTGGAACTGCCTGTGTAAGGAGCAAAGACCTACATGCCTCCACTCTAGCCCTATGTTCAAAGGGGATGGAGGCAAGTTTCGACCCTGCTAATGAAGTGTCACTGTAAGCTGGTTGTTGCAGTTAAGATAGTTTCTTAAATTATGGGAAAAACAAAGTTGGGGGGTAAGGGGGAAGGCAGGAGGGAGGAGTGAGGGGGGAAAGGCTGGGGGGAGGTAGAGAAACACACCAAGTGTTCCAAGCCAAAAGAACATCTTAACACGCTTGGCTGGGGGCTTGTCCAGTGCAGCTGAGTTGTACATATGCGGGGGGGGGGAGAGGAAGAAGCAATGTGAAACACATGTCTGGATAAAAGCAGCTTGTGTTACAGCTGTCATAATGCATGGGCCTCTCAGCCTGACTGCACTGCTAAAGTGGTTATGGGAGTGGAAGTACAAACTAAGCACAGTTGGATAGAGCTGAGCCTTTCTGGAACACAGCCCCTGCTCCACGGAGCTGGACACAGGGACTGCATGAAAGCTGGGTGAGGAAAGCAGTGCCCATCCCTCGCCTCCTGGCAGGCTCTCAGCACTACCCCCTGCAACCACAGTTGAAACAGGGCAAAACAGCTTCTTCTGAGAAAGGAGCTGTTGTAGCCTTCAGTTCTGAACTCTTACACCCAAGTTCTGAGTTCTTACACCCAAGCAGCATCTTTACTAGGCTCAGACGAGCATATTTCATAAGAACTCAAAAATGCATGTAATTTCTGAGACCTGCACGTCTGAGATCAGCCAAGGCCAGGGCACAAAGGTGGCTGACAGAAGATGGAAGTGTGTCCAGCACTCTCAGGGGACTCCAGCTGCCTCACCTCAAACCCCAAACTACTGAGAGAACCCAGGATGTTTGGAAGTCACTATTTACAAGATTCTCAAAGCACACAGCTACCTCTGTTGGCTTCCTGGGAAACAGTTATTTTACTAATATTAGACTTCCAGCCTAGATTCAAGCATCAGCAACCCTAAAAAAGTTCTCTTGTAGAACAGCTACAGGTTTATTTTTAAAATTGACCTTTTCCTTTCACTGGATGGCTCAGTGCTTTGGTTTTCCCACTTAAAAATGGGACTAGCAGTGAGGAATGGGGTTTTGTGGACTTGTTCATGGGATGGACTGCAGAAAACCTGAGTGTCCCGCAGAGATGCAAAGACTCTCAGCTCAGTGCCCCAGTGGGTACCTCAGCTACTGAAACTGCAATTGCAAGGAATTCAGTGCCTTTTTATATTAATCTAATATTAGGTTGTAGGGGAGGGAAGGGACATTTACAGCGCTGCCTCAAAACCGATCTCCAAACAGTGGGTGGTGGAGATGACAGGGTATCCCAGCCAAACAGCTACCCAGTCCAGGCAGCTTTATAATCTGAAAAACTGTGTGGCTGCCTTTCCAGGCCAGCTGACCAAGTCAAAGCTTTTCTGCTATGACATTGAGCTGCAATTTACAAGTTTGGGTGTGTGCTGTTAAAAGGCTGAATTCTCTTGATAGTGGAATCTATTTTCATCTGTTTGGGAATGAATTATAGGTCTGTTTGGCTCCATTCGCTCCTGTTTTAGGGGGAAAAAAGGGCTTGTCTGTGAACTGTGGTTTTAAATTTCACGGAGCTGGTCACCTACAGTCATGGCAGCAAACCATGCTGCATTAACAACTATGAGGGAAAACCATGCACTAACGATATGACTACATTTCTGTAGCCCTTTTCATCTCAGAAATACTCAGAACAATGAACAATCGTACAGGAACTATTATATGTTCTGCCAAAATGCACCTAAACCATGACACCACCAAGCAGCCCTGCACTGTTTGAGGACAGGAAGCACCACAGACCTTATCCATGCAAACAGAAGTGTGTTCCAGGAATTAAGAACAAAGCTGGTAGGTTTAGAAACTAGCCAAGCCTTCATGTTCTTAAGAAAATGGCCAAATGCAGTCAGAGTTTAATTGAAAGTTTTAGACCAGAATAAAAAGCATCCCCTTCCCTTCAGCTGCTCAGCATCCTCCTTCTGTGAGGCTGGGATTGCCTTCTAAGATCTCCTACCACAATCCACACAGGCTTCCCATCCCTACACAGGTCCAACTTCAACCAGCTTATTTAACTTGTCCAAGTAAGAACACCGCAAAGTATTTGCTTCTCCACAGCCATAGTTTTGGGGAAAAAGACAACGTTTCAATGAGAACGTTGCCCTGGATTCTGTTTGCTTGGGCACACCAGGGAGGTCCAGCTTCGTAAGGGGTCTGGAACATTGCTGATTTCTGTAATGGGCACAGTGAAGGGTGTCAAACTCACCATCACTGGGACTTGCTGCAACAGTACTAGAGGCATCAGCAGCTTCAGGGTACCACCAACGAACTCCCCGCTCCAAAGCTCCATCTCTATGTTTAGATTACTACAGCAACAAATCCATGCATGCAAAAATTTATAGAGGGAGCACAGTGAAGCCAATGGACTGGGATCACATCAAGAGAAATAAACCCCCGTGCAGCATGGCTGGGTGAGGAGCAATCAAGAGCAGAAGCCATGCTTTCATCTACTTCACCCTGAACAGACTCGGTCACCGGAGTGTAACAGGCAGTCAGCAAGTTAAGGCCATTTCAGTTTGTAACTGCAGCAAGACCACGGTCTTTCTAGCTAAGGATTTCAGAGTGTGTTAAGAGACCTGGACACACAACAATCAGCAGATAAACCTCATGAAATTGAAATGGTTGCATGTTCTGCCGCTTTGCAGAGATCAAGTCACCCAACAGAGGAATGGGATGACTTATCCAAAGTCACACAACCAGGAAGCATCACTGGCAGTCCAGGAAGACCACCTGCACTTACTGGCTTCCAGTCCTGAGGCTAAACCACAAACTCAAATTCATGTTGCTTGCACTGAAATTGTCTGCTCAAATGCCACTGGGGTCATGACTAAACAAGCGTCTCATTCCTCAGCAGTAAAATTAAGCTCACCCACTCTCTGCAGTTCAACTCCTGATGCACCCGTGTGGACACGCAGGATGGATACAGCTTTCCAAAACAAAGACAAGCAAAAAAAAAAAACCCAAGCAATTCACATCAATTCCATTTACTTAAAGTAACTTGACCAGCTTAAAGCAGAGAGGCAGATGTGGGCCCCCACCTTACATGGTCATCCCAAAGCTCTTTTTCTTGCTTGAGGCCTGGAATCTACCACACACAGCCAGTTCACAGTACAGAGAAACCCTGACCAAGGTTTTCCTCTTGAATGTCTAGATTGAGGCCTTTTAGTGGCTTTATTCTCAAAAGGGCAGAGCAGCCAGCTTCTTTGAGTGCTTCAGTATGCCACAAGTCCACTAAAACAGTTCAGAAAGACTTCAGTGCTTTTATGGCAATTTTCACTGCTTTAGTCAGTGGGCATAGCAAGATGAATCTGCATTAAAAACAAATAGAAGCACTTTCTGGGAATCAATCTACAGAAGCCCTAAATATAGGATGTGCTTCTTTGGTTTGAAAGGGTCATCTAATCCTTGCAGCAGAGCAGCACATGTTCAGATGCTAGGCATCCCCCTACTCTGTGCTCTCTTTTCAACCAAGGCTACTGTACATGGCATTTGACCCTTTTTTCCTCAAAACCAAGTAAACCCAAATTAAAAGATTTGTTCTATTCCCTCCCCTGCTAGGCCTCGTAACATAGGGGAGGGCAGAAAGGTTTGATGATCTAGTCCCACTGGCAACACCGGAGAGATGAGTTATTTTATCAAGAACAGACAGAAGAGGAAACAGCTGAAACCAGTATTTTCAGCCTGTCAGGGCTCCTCAGCTAGAAATCCCCAGTCACCTCTCACAGGCATCAGCATTGTGTTCACCTCTGCTATGCGATTTTCTCATCTTGCCTCTCTTCATTCCATTCTTACTTCATGTGATCTCTAGCTACCGCTGTGAAGCAAAAGTTCATGACATTAGGTCTGACAATGCCTTATGAAGACTATACTGCACTGTTGTCATTTTTCCATAATGAGTTCCAACAGTGGGGCTGCCCTGGCAGCATGTCTCCTCTGCTCTGGAGGGCTCCATCCTCCATGGATGCAGTTCTGAGGAAGGATATGAAATCCCAATTGAGAAAAACACTGGCAGACAATTATGTTTGCTCCAAACCCCACAGAATCTGTGAGGTACTAACTTGGGTGGCCACTCTAGGCTCTGGAACAGCATTCTAATCTTAGAAAGTGAACTGTCAGTTAAGACCTACAACCTTAAGTTTCAAATCTCTTAAGACTTGCCCATTTTAATAATAATCGTTACAGTGACTGCTTCAGCCAAACATCCTGCACCACCTGGGCCTCTACCAGTGGTGGTGCCTGGGAGCTTACCTGAACACAGTATGATAAAAAAAAAGAAAAAGGATTAATTCTTACAGCTCCACTCTGCAATCTGTAAGTACTGTCATCGCCATTGGGGTGTACATGAGCAAGATGAGGCAGAAGCATAAGACACCTAAGTCACCCAGTACTAGCCTTACCCTTATGCTAATCTCTAGGGCAAGACCTTGGTTCTGCTGAAATCAACTGGAAAAAAATCACAACCAAAACTAGACCTGACCAAAGTCTTTACATCACAGGTAGAATGGAAGATACAAAAGTCCATGAATATAACCAGCTTTCTTGGTGGGTTTTGGTTTTCTCGGTGGGTTTTGGTTTTCTTGGTTTTGTTTTTTTTTTTAGGTAAGTGATTTTTCCCCTTGGCACCTGTGTGCTGTCAGAAGTGCAGTTGAGCAGAAAAACATTTGCTTCCTCATGGGTGGACTGGAGGCTGCACCACCAACATCAAAACTTTGTCTCTGAAGTTCAAACCAAAGTAAACAAGCCACATTCCTTGCAAGTTTTTGAACAAAAATACTTTTCACGTAGCTCCAGCTCAGGTCTGTTACTGAGACACCTCTTGTCATTTTAAACTGGGCACTTTGCTAATCCATGAGAAGTTCTACAATCTTAATCAGTAATTTTACACTGGGTGCCCAAACTTCAGAACCTTGGCTCTTAACGCTCACTGCTTCTGGTGCAGCCCAAAGCGTGGCATGAAAAGTGACAGCAGATTCTGTACGAGGAGAGCTTCCAGGTAGGCAGCAGCACCTCGCAAAGGAGCAAACATTTTCAGAATGTTAGAGCCCGAAATACTTGAAAAAAAAAAAAATTCTCTTCTTGAGCCAAGAGCAGAACATACAACCCCCTTCAGCTCTGCCTGCACTGCCACCTCTTGGAACAACACTGGAAACTTGCTGACAGAATCACAGAACCCTGCAGCACTGTGCAAAAGATAAAGCAGCCATTTCTGCAGCAGCTCACTTGGGGTGCAATCATCTAGAAAGAACTTGTTAAATCTAGTCTCAAAAGTTACCTTTTCAGGTCAAAAGGCCACAGCTTTGCCTCCCTGCTGAGTTGGACAGAGATCTTTCTGTAGATGTAGATTTTCCATCCACCCCCATCCCTAGGATACCGGCTGGTTCTGATTTTTGTTTCTTATCTTGGATTTGAAAGAACAAAGAAAATGCTTTTTGAATTGCATAAACATACAAAATGTAATTTAACTTGGCACTGCAGTATTGAAGCCCAGCATGCAAAGATATAGCCAAGGTCTCTCCGTCCTCAGTGTGTTTAGAAGAGCTGAACTCAAAGCAGCAGTTTGTTTGAGTAACCAAACCAGATCTGCAGTAATGAACTAGTTGGCTTATTCTGGAAGTACTCTCTTGGTCACTTGGCTTTGTGTTATCACCAAGATAACACATTAATAAATATTAAATAGCAATGTTCCAGTCCCACAAAACAGTACTATTACAGTACACGCATGCTAGTACATTCTGATATAATAATGACATAAGAGTCAAACAATGGGTATTTCTCAACAATATCCTACTCCAATTACTGACTGAAGCAAAATTCTAACTTCCATAGCTCTCATGCAAGCTTGTTTGTTGTGATGCCTTCCAAAATCTTTCTCATGGGACAAAAGAACAGCAAATACTGGTGGCAAAACTGAGGCACCTAACTTTGACTAAACTGTTTTCAGTAACAACAGTTCCTGGTGATCATGCTTCCTGGGAATAAAGAAGGTGTAAAATGACTGTGCAGGGCAGTAGAGATTAAGGGATTAACTTCATGAGGCAGGTATCTCTCCAACAGATCCAGGGGCTTTTGCTTTGCCCATCACCAGCAGTGATAGGTGGGCAACCACTGCTCTATTCATGTATCGCCCCATCAGAACAGACTGTGGCTTAAAAAAAAAAACAGCTACATTTAACTTACCCTATAAAACTTGCATTCACCTGTAAGAAATTAAAAAGCATCCAGCTGTCACCAGTGAACACAGACTTTAGTTCTTAATGTCACCAGTCAGTAAAACTGTTTGGTAAAACATTATTAATGATATTGTAGTGAGGTATTGAAGTAAGCGCCTTAGTTTTTGAAGGGGCTTTCTGTGGGTGAAAGTGCAAGAAGTGTTAAAGGGCTGCATTAATCAGTAAAAAACAATTGAAAACTACATACCACTGCAGTTCAGCATTTGGAATTCCAGTTAGAACTGCATTTCTTTCTGGAAGGACAAAAAAGGAGAACTGGCAAAAAAGCCCTACTTTCTTAGGTGCAAGCCAAGGGCAGACACTGTCCAGTTCTGACTCTGTGCCTGCTGAAATAAGTGTCCTTTTACTGCTGAACAGTACAGCAGTACAAAAGCACCCTCAAACCCAGATTTTGAAATTAAACCAGTGCCAAAACACGTAGACAATTAATAGTTCTCCACCTTAGCTACTGGGAACAAGGACTGAGACCAGATAAACTTGTTTTCCTTGTGATCACCAGCCCTATAAGAAGGCTGGTAGTTTGCTAGCATTAGTCAGTGGAAAGGTTTATTCTCTATTTGGTTCTTCCGCAGCATAAAGCCTGGAGAGGTTGAGCCAGAATGTCTTCTGAAGGCTTTCTGAAGGAAATGCAAACCATTGGTGAGAAGTTTCTCCTTAAGCTCCAGAAACTGCCCAAGGCTGACCCGGTGGAGATTGTGTCCTTTTGTGTGGTTCTTCTGTTTATCGGTGAGTGTATCAGTGGATGCAGAGGGATGTCAGAATGTCTCTTCTCTTCTACGGGGGCAGCTTACTCCAGTCTTTGTTGCTGGGTTGGTGTTGTTGGCAGTCATTTCCTCTGAGGCCCAGTTTAATTTCTAGGTAATGTTTTAATACTCAGTGTCTGTCTCTACATGCATGCAGAGAACAACAGGCATCAGTATTGCTTTCCCCAGAGCTTTCATATTATAGCATTAAACAGCAGTACTCTACCAGAGCTACTGCAATGTTCTGATGCATGGGAGACAGTTTATGACAAATGGCATTAGGGCACCTCACTGCTGAAGAAGACACAAAGTCTGAGACTCCAAATATCGTTCCTGTGCTTACTTCAGTGGAATGATCCTATTTATTCTTCTCTGGTAATGGCAAGATCCCTCCTCCTGCTCTGTGTGGGGATGGCATGGAACTAGTAACAACGAGCTGCTTGATGCAGAGGGATGAAGTTTGTTTAGACAATGGGAAAACAAGCAGGAAGAAAGAAAGGCCCTCCCCCTCCACGAGGTATACTTCACTCCCAGCCAAAAGGAAGGGAGTGGATCCAGCCTGGACACTCCTCCCCGGGCTGGAATTCAGAAAGACACACCTGCTGCTTTAGTTTTTCATACCTACAGCTGGCTCCCCACAGGTCCCATAACCTGGCAGCGCAGCTCCAGACTATTAAGAAACACATGCACACACATGTGCCCATTCATACGCTCTTATGTGTTTTGAGGGATTAAACACATCATCCTTTCCTATTCCTGATAAATTAACATGCTCTTTCAATACCAACCATTATGCCTAATGTAGGGTAGCAGTGATTTAGCCCAAAGGTTCGTGAAACAATCCTTGCATTTGTAGTATGTATTTTTTTCAAACAAAATACAGAAGAAAAAGCGAACCCAGTCACAAGTATCTGTCCTTACTAAAAGGTACACTGTACACACTCCTCAGAAGTGCAACTGCCAGTTTGATTAACCAAATCCTCTTGAGTTGCTTCTGACACAACTATGGGGAGAGTTGGATCTTCATCCTTTCCAGGCACACAGCTGTACTTAGTCACTGCACATCACCTCCGAAACAACAGCCCATTAAGCAGGTAAACATATACCTCCACATGGTTTAGTATAATAGCTGTTAGGATCACCAAATATTCAGTAATGATTGTCCAGATTAAATGGATAACTAGCACAAGAGAGCACGAACTTAGGAGGAGGGAGGTGGGGATATGGGAGAAAAAAAATGGCAAGAAAGGCTTTGTTCATTATGCTGCCCACTGAACAACTTAGAGAAGACACAGGGTTACTCTGTGGTGATTGCTCCTATGTCAATAAACAATATCCTTTGCTTGTCTTTCCAGTTACTGTTCTGGTGCTCATGATCATTGCCTGCAGCTGCTGCTGCTATAGCTGCTGTAGCTGTGATGGACATCCTGACCACAGACGGAGAAAGATCCAAGTCCGCCCAGCTGCCCATTCATGAAATGCAACAAGTGGTGACACAATTTACTATCAAGGACATGCACGGACATCATGATTCAGTCCCATGGGGATGACTTTCTACACTAGGTCACTGGAAATGGCAATAACAATAACAATTAATATGACCCAAAGGACCAGAAATCACAGCATGGAATTCCTTCTTTCTGTGACAGCCACTACTGTGACCAGAAAGGTAATGCTACTTTACCATCACTGTCTCCTTCTAGGGTGGGGTGAGAGTGCTGGACACATGCTGCTGAGAAAATAAACATGCTTTCCCATTGACAGCCCTGCAACTGGGCCAGCCAACAGTTCCCTCTGTGAGCACGGAGCCACAGACCAAAGCAGAGAGCACAGAGGCTGCCACATGCTAGGCAGTGCTTACTCTCTTTACAGGCAGCTAATCCAGAAGGATGGTGCCGGGAGCTAGCAGAACCCCCTGACATCACTGAGAGATCTACATGCTTAATGCATCTTGGATCAATCCCAAACCTGGTATCTCAAAAGCTGCCTGCAACACACACATTTAGCAGAGACATCTGCTGAAAACAACAAACTTCATCCAGACATACCAGCTGAGGCTCTGAGCATAGCCAGAACAAATGCTCTTCGCTTTACTGCATGGGGGCCACAGTGATATGAAACTGCCAAAGGGAAAAAACAGTTCATGTGCAATACCCTTTGTAAACAGAAACGTGAAGGCGAAAGTGAAAACTTCACCAATGCTACAGCTTCATTTGATCATTCTGCTGCTAAACGTGCTCCCTCCCCACCTTCTGTGTGGTTCTGCTCTTCTGCTTACTGCAGGTGAATGGTTCTTACAAAGTATGGGAGTTTGAGATGAACAAACCCATCCTTCCTTGAGGGACCTGTGTGCCTGACTCCCTGCCCTGTGTGCAGTTTATTTTAGTGGACATAAACATTATGCCTTAGGTTTGTTTATTAGCACATGCAAAGGCATTTCAGAGGAGTGACATACCAGGTGGTAACCATCACTGCAGGGCACTCATGCAGCAGCTGACAGCGGGCACTGTGACAAAGCAGAGCCCAGAACAGCCTGTACAGCTGGAAACAAATGCAAATAAATCCCTTTTCCACACTGCTCCCACTGTGTATGTTTGGTTTATACTTAGGTGATTTATGTACATACAAGGCTATGGTGCAGGTCACAGCTTTCCTAACTGGGACAGCCAAAGGAAGACCATCACACTGCACCTGACTCTGTAAGCCACTGGTCTTTCTGCCCCAAACGTGAAACCAGCCACCTTTATGAGAAGGCATATCGATAAGTTATCTTCTATCCTTGTACCCTAATTGCTAAGTGTAGAGGAATCAAAGGGATTGCATGCGTATATACCAGAGCTAGCATCTAGCTCTCTAGAGAAAAGAATCAAACTTATAACCATAGGCTTTTAAATATTCTTCACACTTCAAAAAGAACAAAAATTTTGAAAACTTTGTAAAGAAACCTCTTTTCTCGGATGCCTGCACCCATATCAGTAAAAGGCACATTCCACCACTACATCCTCATGTATTCAACTGTTGCAAAGAAGCCACATGTAGGTATTTTGCATTTTTATACTGTTGCCCATTAGGATACAGCTGCAGCAGCAACACAGACAATAGGCTAAAAATTAAGAAAAAAAAAACTTCCAGCAGAAAATAAGGCTGTTCTTTAGAGCGTAAACATTTGAGCCCGAACTTGACAACTGCCAACAGAGGACTGCACTAGTATGAGCTAGTGCACACACAGTTAGCACTGAAACAAACAAAGTGCTGCCCTTTATTGTACTTCCCCAAAGCTTTCACTCCAGACCAATAAATGTCAGGGTAGGATAAGCTCAGGTGTGGCATCAACCTACTCTAATCAACATTCAGAGTTACATCACACAAACCTCTCTGTCAGATATGGCTTTGCTCATTTTGCTTACAAACAAGTGGCAATCAAGGTGACATATGAAGTCTCAGAACCTCTTTTGTAGGAGACAGACTCAACGGATGCTTCTGGATCTAATTTAAATCACGAGATCTGTGAAAGCACAGAGCTTACTTTCTTTCCTAGCTTATCCTAGACAGCACCAGCTAGAGGAATTAACAGAATCCCATTGAGAAATGTTAACAGCAGGATGGAACCAGTCTGTGCTAAATCAAGGAGGAAGCTCAGCTCACATACCAACTGACAGCTTGATGTCACTAGGAACAAGCTGCCAGGCCTTATCTCAACAGGAAAAGCTACAAATACACATTCTCCAGTGGTACTACAAGTCAAACCGCTGACAGATAGCAGGCAGGGGGACAAGAGAAATGGCTCCTGTCTTATTTCTGCCACTGCAAGTTCCTGAATTAGAAACAGAGACTAAACACAACACTTAAGAGGAGTGAAAATCAAGCATTTCTCTAAAGAATTCATGCGGCTTTCTGGAGCAGAGCAGCAGTCACTACATACAGGAGAATCCCTGGACTGATTTCTACGTACTTGCCTAGACCTCACAAGCCTAATGTTCTACTTCCTACCATTTTGTACAATTGCTCGCAGCTGGACTATTCATACACTTAGTGTTTAGTTAAGCCCATTGCTGGCCTGGGTGGGCTCTGCCACCTTCCTGCGTGCAACAGATCAGTTTGGCCTGAAAGATGCCCAGAAAATCCCAGTTTACTACAGCTCTTCAGTTTCTGTTGACTAGGAACGTGTCTGGGTCCCTGCTCACCACTCACACCAGCTTTTGTGGGTTTGGTTTCAATCATTACCCACATAAAGGGACCTGAAATGCTCTGAGCACTAGTGAGGATAGATCCATCCTCTCCGTTTCAAAAAGCAGAGGGAGATCCAGAAAAGCACAAGACTAAGGTGAGACTGTTTCAAATACAGCAACTTCTGTACATGTTGTGAAAGCCTGAGTGACCCTAGAAGGAACTGCAAGGAAATATAGTTATTTCAGCCATGATGACACAAGTGTTGAAATAATTCCCTGAAAAACCTAAAAGAGACAAGAAGCCAGCCTCTGCAGCAGAGGTGGCTGAAGTTCCACTGATGACTTGACGGAATAGCTTCTATTCTGTAACATCATCCCTTCCTTTCAAAGTGATTTGCTTGGCTTGTAAAACAAAGTTTCCTTTTACACACACACAACCTCACACACCACATTCTCCTGCTCCTCCTACCCTCCCACCTCTCTCCAGCACCATCTTTCTAGTCTTCCTCAGTTAGGAAAGCAACAGGGACACAGTTTTATTGAAGCTAATGGCAGTGCAAGGCTCTGGAATGAGTTTATCCACCCAAACTCTCTCAATGAGTTTTGGACTGGAGGGCAGTCTTGTTCACCGTCATTTTAAATATGGTGGTCTCCTAACAGAGCTTACAATACAGATCCACTCAGGATCCAATGAAAGCCTCTTCTCTCCATTGCAGCCTTCCCCAGTCAGAGGGCATCATGAGCCTTTACAACCACTGGAACAGGTGTACGAGTAGATAAAGCCATGGAGAAGAAAGAACCTCAACTAGGCTCAATGCCTTTGACCAGATTAGCCACACCTTTGCAGGGAAGTCAGCTGTTAATCATTGACTGTAGTACAAACAGTCACCTTCCATGCTGGCTCTGCAGTCTCCAGGTGCAGTAAGGCAGTTCTTCCCCACAGGCCAAGATCTCTTGGAGTGAATGCTGAGAACCAGAAGAAATACCTGCTACAAACGTAACAGCTTCAGGTACTTATAAACTTGCATACAGCTGTCCTGTTTCAGAAGATTTAACTGTGGTTAGCAAAAGAGATGAGAACTTTTTAGGGTGGACAGTCACACTGGGTTTCTGCCTTTGGGTCTACAGAACTAGTATCTAGACTGTCTCATTTTTAAAGGCAAAGCAAGCTATCCAGAACCACCTTCATGTCCCATATGCCTGTTGGTTAGAGTCTGGCATGGTGATTTGCCATCATTCCAGAAAACAACATATGAACTGAATATATTTGGCTGCTAAGAAGGAAACAAAAGCTTCAGCAAACTGAAGTGTGCTCTTAGTCAAATGTATTTGGCAAGGATGAAACACACTTTCCTTATAGTATTAAGGATCCAGACATAATGGGAAGCAAGTCAAACAAATTTTCAAAAATAATGGACCTCCCTTAATGTATTAGGACTGCACAGTCATATTTCTGAGAAAGTTTAAGGAATAATCCATTTTTTCCCTTGAGAAGCAAGGAAGCTTTAGTAAAACCACAAGATGCTTGCAGAGAGACGCTGGATATTCTTTAGAAAGCTATCACCAAGCCATTATGCAAAGTACCAGTGACAGAGTAAATCTGTAGGACTCACTGAGATCCCACTTTGAATTATTGCTGGACCCAAGTACTACATGGGAGGAAAATATGCTCCTATGTGTGTTACTAAAAGTGTTACTAAAGCAAACTCCCTTAGCAGGAGATCTTTTTACACAACTACTCTAAGCCCCATGGCAGTATGAGACAGACATGAAGAACTTTGCTTATTTTTTGTGGGTTTTTTTTGGTTGTTTGCTTTCAAGTAAGTGCTCATTTAACCTCCAGTGTGTTTTCAGAATTTATCTCCCTTTTAGAGATACTTCCAATGGCAGCAAAGAATACTTGTTTTTCATGTATAGGCTGTACAGTTGACAGAGATGAAGGGTTCACACTGAACGTGCTGGGACAGACACTATGGTATATTATTAAAAGTATTGATAAGCTGTGATTAAAATAAATCTCAACTGCCAAAATCTTGTAAAGCCAGAACCTTTCCTCTTTACATCTCTGCAGATCTGATTGTGAAACTGGCCTTACCTACCTTTCTTCTGGTTTATGCTCCCATTGCTGTGACTCTCCCTTTTGCAAAAAGGGTGCTGCAGGCACAGAGAACATGCATGCCTATACTGCTTTAGGGACTGGGGCTCAGAGCACAAAGAGGACACCAACAGCTGATATTGCCCTTGTTTATCTCTAGCAGGGTGGAAGCCAACATGTCTTCAGTACAAGAGGCATCCTCAGGTCTGGAAGAACTAAAGAGACTGACTGAAACAAGTGATTGGGCTCTTGGAGGGCTAGTGGTGATTGGCATCTTTTGTCTTGTTTTTGTTGGTCTCCTTTTATTTGCTGCCATCTTTGGGTGTTGCTCATCCCCAAGGCACAAACTAGGGTATAAATAGCAAAACTCAGACACTGTACTTGGAGCCCTACGCTAAGCAGGAATCAGCCCAGCTACAACCTAATTGTGTTGTTCATAGAACATCATCTTCTCTCATACCCTCTTCTCTCCCTGGATGGTTATTTCTCCCCATGCAACTTCCCCGCATCAAGAGAATGCACCACCGCCAGCAAGCTGCTCTGCAAGTCTACCACAAACTCAACACCTAAGGGTATCTGCATTCAAAAACTGTGTGACTAGACAAATACCAAAGTCAGCTCACATCTGCCTGATTTTCATCTTTCAAGCAAAACCACTGGTTACAGGCAAATGGTCAGCTATCACCTAAAACTGATAAAGATGTCTTCCACTGCTGCAGTTACAGAGGCGTTTTTTCCACCTTGCAAATAGGGAACAAGAAACTGACCAGTGAAAGCTTTGTTCAAACGCACTCCCCAGAACAGCTTATACCATTGGTCTCCTGTCACGCTTGGACAAAAGCCTAAATATACTATTCAAAAATCCTTGCCAACATGCAAGTCTGTCTTTATTTGTTCCTATTTAGAACCTTGCAAGGTCAGCTTCACTATTCAAACAGTGAAAGCAAATGTGAATAGAACTGTATTAATTCAAAATGTAAAAAATAAATGCAACATGCTGTTTCTTTACACAGAACCTTAGTCTCCTGTAGTTACAAAGAGGGAAGCCAGTGAGTGGTGCTGCAATATGTGACTCTGGGACATGCATACATCATGCTATACAGCAGGAAGAATGTACCAGGGTGGGGGAGGGAAGAAAAAGTATAGAAGAGGTGATTTCTAATTAGGGCAGAGATATTCAGCTACAGAAACCTCTCTTATGTACCCAATGAAATCCTGTATCTGTTACTATTCATCTGAGCAAAAGAGAATGTTTTCTTTCTGTCCTTGCCTAGTTACTGCCTCATTGCTGATGTGCAACTCTAGAGAAAGTCCTCATGAGACAGCAGTCAGGCTCTTTACAACATGCATGAAGTAGGAGATGCAATAAGATAGTAACATAGAGCCCAACTCATGCCCTCCCTGGGGCATCACCCTGGAATGTCCTGAGACCCTTGCTTCTGGTTTGTGCAAGGTTAGTTCAGTGATCCCAGTCCAGTCCTTATGGCACTAGCGTCCATTCCAGGAAGTGACTGTCCTGGCTAATTCTACTGCTATAAACAGCTTAGGAATTAAGGAGAAATAGATACCAAGACAAGGCTTCCTGAGGTTAACATCTAACCAGATAGATACAACTGCCTCTCAGATTATACAATACCAGAAGGAGCAGAGCTACTTAAAGTAAGTAGATCAAACTAAACAGCAAGACAACTCCCAGTAGCTACTTCCCAGAATCACCTTGACTTTGGGCAGAGAAGTGCTCCTTCAAATGCCCCAGAACTCAGAATTGTGCCATACTTTAGTACAAGCAACACTTTCTTGGAGCAGTCCCATAAAACAGGATTTGTTTACCAAGCATGACCACAAGGAGAGCACATGCTAACCAGGGCATCAGAAAAGCGTCACGTCACAATCACACTGAAAAAGTTATCCTAGACACAGGTGTGAAAAATGAAACAAAATGCAGACTTGAAAGCAAGACACATGTTGACTGTTTTCAGCTACTGAACACAGACTGCTCTCTTACTGGCAAAATTATAGCTTTGATGTCTTATCCATCATGGAACAGGAATTAGTACAATTACAGTTTACAAATCAGAACCTAAACAATTCACATTGCTGTTGCTACTCTGCATTTAAACTGGGGACATCCATAATTTGGGCCTGTTTCTGAAACATTCTAGGCACCATTGGCTCCTTCTAAGGTCAGTAAGAATCATAGATACCTCATTCTTTGCAGAATGGAGCCACTGAGGTTTAGAGAAATATTAAATCTAAATGCTTCCATCCCATGCTGATTAGGCTGCCTATCTCTTTAGAAGAGAGATAATGTAGTGAAGGAGGAAAGAGTCAAAACAAAAGCAAATGCAACTAAGTCAGCCCATCATCAAAGACAGAACATAGTAAAATTCATAGTAGAGGAATTACAGTTTAACACCACCACAACACTTGGTCAGGCTCCAAGACCGACATACCAGTTATCTTAGAGGTGGGAGTGAGAGAGAGATGTCTCAGGGACACCTTCCTCAGTTCAGACAGCAAAATACCAGGCAATTCATTCAGTATTTTTTTTTCCTGGATGTGCAAGATCTCAGGAGTAACAGTGCACTTACCCCAGCTCCTCACAGAAGTTCACAATGGCATCAAAAGCTGTCATCACAGCTTTGTCACATTCTTTTAAGGTGCCTTTTTTTTCCTGAAAGCAGAAGGGGACAATAACAATAGTCCTAAATTTAAACAGATAAAGTAACTCTAGTGACAACTAAATCCAACCCTTCTGATAAATCCACCAAACAGGTATAGACACCATCCTGTCTCTGCTCCAGCCTTATGCTCACCCATGCCTCTCTAATAGAGCTCAAGCTGCAGCCCTTTCCCTTTCTATTTCATTCCTCACTGCTGTCCCTTGAAACAGGGCTACTGACAGCTCAAGACCCAGAAAAACTCACTTCATCTTTGCACATTCCAAGATTACTGCAGACAAGCCAGATCAGAGGAAAGGCAGCAGCATATCTAGGCAGGTGGGTACTATTCTGCAGATCTTACCTGGATGTCAGAGAGCTCCTTCTTTATCAGAAAGCTGACTTGATCCCTCTCATGCCTTGAGTAATAGAGGCGACAGCAGGATGGCTTCCCATCCCTCCCAGCTCTGCCAGACTCTTGGTAATATCCAGCCATTGACTTAGCAATATTCCAATGGGCAACGAATCTGCATGGGATAAGGCAACAGGAAACATAAGGCTGCAGGTTTCTCAGATCACTTCATATACAATGGTGTTATTTGTGGACATCAACAACAGTAAAATATAGGGCAGCAAAAGCATAAAAGGCAGGGTTTAGCAGAGCAAGGGATTTTGCACACAGAAATTTAACCCCTCTTAATATGAGACACAAGGAAAACAGCTGGGCTATAAGAAAAACAACACACCAGAACAGAATGTGAGCAGGATGTTACTTTAAATGGATGGAAAAGGATGAGCATGTGAATATACCAAACATGCATAGAATTGTACAGCTATGAAGACTGAGAATAAGGACATTGAACTACAGAGTTTGGGAGATTTTACCATGAAGTACAGCATTAATTAAAAGGTCCTATTTATTTTGTGGAACACAATTTGAACATTGCAGAACACATTTTGAAACAATCGATTTAAAAGGCACTTTTTTGTCAACAAAGCCTGTATGGGAAGTTCTGTCTTACCAAGCTGACCTATAGATGAAGGCATCCTTCCTTTCTTCCTAGCCAGATAATACAAGTATAGAATCATTGCTAAACTTCATATAACGTCTGACTGTTTTCAACACACCACTTCTTTAAACCTGCTTGTACCTGACTATTTGGCAATTTAGGTTATACCTGCACTGAGAGCATTTCACAGGACAGTAATCCTGGCAATATTTTAAATCCCAGCCTGCCTCCAAACCAGCATGTCCCACGGGCTGGTCTGACACAAAAGGGTGGGGCAAAAGAGTAAAGGACAAAAGCAGGCAAACATGTTTGAAGAAACACAAACACTCCAGAACAGGCCAGGCAAGGAGCATGAGAGCCCTACACATTTAATCCCCATCAGAAAGTTTACTGAAGCAATCGATAATCTCAAGCAAAACTGAATTAACAGAAAGGAGCTGATTCCAGCATAAAAGACACCACCCATTTTCCCTTTTGTGCAGAAAAGTCACCTCCAGAAGTTGTCAGACCTGATCTTAGTTGGTAACATATGCATGATTGCTCAGAACTCTGCCAACAGAATGAAGGCTAAGCAGCAGTTGCTTGTTGCCTAGGCTCAGGTATAATATCCTTTAAACTATTAAAAAAACATCCTGTAAAAAGTCATTTTAACTCCATTCCTTGGAAACTGACCAGATTATAAGCATGTTTCAGCTACATTTCACTCTCGACCAGCCCTATGCATTTCAGTTACTCTGCTTTCTCTAACAGCCACTCTCCTGAATAGGGCAGGGTGGCTTCAGCGGGTCCTGAATTCATGCTGCTGTCCTAGTAAACTTCTCATTTCTCTCTTGGGTCACATGAATCAAGCAGCGAAACTGTCACTGCTATGCGATCTTGTTACCTGGCAGCACAGGGACACAGAAGGATGGCACAATTGTGAACTGATTTGACTGTCTCACTGCTGTCCTGCCCCTCTCTCACAGCATTCAGAGCAATCACTTTATGTGGATTTTAGAGTACAGATCAGGTCTGTGTGGGGCACTGCATGAGCTGCACCTGAATTACCCTCTGCTAAGCAATCACAGCTCACAATGCCAACTCAGCACAGCCATAGTGCAGTGCAGGAATTCTAGCAACACAGAGCAATTATGGTGACAGAAGTCCCACAGGAATAGCTGTTGAAATCATGTGCAAAATTTTATCCTTGGACTAGAGCTGTATTTTGATATGGTTATTGCCATTTGTGAACTGCTTTATTTTCCCCCCCACTGCATTGCAAAAGGAGATGTCTAAAAAAGAGTTGGCTCTGACCATTTTAGGAGAGGGTGTATGAATTATTTCAGGTGCTCATATTCTTCCCACTGCTTTTTAACAGCAACTACTTCACTAAGAGAAGTGAAAGGGACAGCTGTGACTGCCTCAGGATGTCTTCTTTTGGAACCCTGGAGGGTATGGCACAAAAAATAAAATTCCTCCAGTTTTCTTGGTTCGGAAGATGGCTGGCACAGAGGAGCTCTGGAGGCTTGTTCTTCGTTTCTTTATAGAACCCTTCCACGTTTGTTTTTACTGGTTCTAAGATAAAAAACATCCACCTCTGTTCCTGTGGTCTTAGCAAGTGTTCATCGGGCATTTGAGTCGCATGTATCAGGTAACAGAGAGACTGAGGCTTTCCCTTCCCACTGCTCAGGTTTCAGACTCCAGCAGGGCACAACACTCAGCCTCACATACCTGACGTTGGCTTTGTCTACTCCCATTCCAAAACTGATGGTTGCAACAATAACAGGGATCTTCTCCTCCATCCACTCATTCTGGATTAAAGTCCTGTCAGCTGCCTTGAGTCCTGGGAAGGAAAAAAAAGGGAAGAAAACAACAGGGAAAGAAATAAATTAAATTCCTCTTCCATTCCCCCATTCTAAGCCAACCCCTGACAGAGACAGCAGCAGCTGTTTCGATTCCAAAGAGAAAAATCTGATTCCTTCCTGGGATAAAAGCAATTATTATATTTAGGCTGTGCAAGATCCAACAAAACCAACAGCTCTGGAGTGAAGGGAATGCTGTCCTGTGGAAGACCCCAAACTTATCTTACATGAGCATCAGACACATTGCAGATCATGCCCAGAAAACTGTTTCCTAGATAGCCCCAACCCAGGCCTTAACGATTGTACAGTTCAGTTCTACCACCTATTGAGAGATGCAGATGCAGCTTCCTGTACCTGCATGATAAGCCTTGGCTTTCACTCCTCGGTAGCTCAGCTCAGTAGCCAGCTGGTCACACATATCCCGCATCCTGCAGTACACAATGCCACAACCAGAGTACACCTGGGCAGACAGGAGAGAAAGTCCACAACACAGCCT